AGAACTAATCTTCCTTGCAAAACATAGTTGTTTCTTTACAAATTTCATCCATTCTTTGTAATATGCCTTGATTTTGAAGATTTTACAATCTTCTTCAGCAAATTCTAACAAAAAAAATAATACTAATAATTAAATGATATATTAATTTCTGTTATTAATACTTATATTGTCCTAAAAACTTTATATTATCTCTTTTAAAAAAGAAATTTTATCTTGTTTAAAAATAAGGCACTTATGTTTTAATTGTAAATTTTTACCAATATATTAATAAATGTATTATTAGAATGTAGTATTTTTACTAAATAAAATACAAAATTATCTAAACTTCTTCTATTTTCTATTGATCAATTTTATTTCCTCCCATCTATTAAAAATACATTACAAATATTTCATTTGATAATTTCATATATGTAGAATTTTTTGTATCAAAGACTATTCATAATCAAAATTTTATTCAAACACACTTTGCAAAGTAAGAATAGACAAGATCAAAACTGTGCAAAAACTAATGTATCCTTAATAAAAAAAAGTTATATTATTTTCTATGCTTATATAGTTAAATAATTCTACTCTATTTTATTTAATTTTTATTTTAGGATAATATTTAAATAAATATTGAAAATAATATACAATAACAATGATACTTTTTAACTAAATTAACACATTATTTCTATTTAATCTTCATGATAATTTTTTCATATTTTTTAAAAATAGGCCTTATAATTAATCTATTTTTATCTTTAAAAAATATATGATTTATTTTGTATATGATATTTTTATAGATGATATAGTTTCAAGTAATTATTATTTATATAAGTTTCAAACAAAGACTCTAAAAAAATTAATTAGTTTAATATGGCTATTGTTATAAAATTTATAGTAGTCTTAGATTAAAGCCATATCATTTGATAATTATTATAAAAATTATAACAACGATTTTTATATAAAAAAATAAGGTCTTCTACTACCATCACCTTTGAATTAATTTCCTATTGTAATAAGTCTTCTTATAAATTTAAATACTCTCTTTCTATATATATATATATATATATATATATATATATTTTTGAGGACACAAATTTGTTAGCATAATAATTAATTATATACAAATAGTCTCCATAAAGTTTGTTATGACCGACCATAAATAATATATTAAATAGAAATATAAGAATAAAAAGCATTTGTGCATGCAATGATGAACATAAGCTTATTAGTTTGTAGGTTGAATTATAATCTAAACTTCTATAAACAATTTATTAAATTATAGATGGAAATTGAAATATGACAAAGAAATAGAATAGAAATTATTTATGCAACAAGAACACGTTCAATATAAATTTCTATTTCGAATCTTAAATAATATATAAAAATCAAAAATAAATTAGAAAAAATCTTCCTAATTTCGGAATTCTACAAGGCAATAAAAGCACTAGCAAATAAAAAATCACCAAGTCCAAATTGTAATGTTATAGATTTTTAAAATTTCTAAAATATAACTAATTATAACTATTTTCAACTTATCAAATAATATTTATGTAGTTGAGTTTTCTTAGAATATTCTAGTTTGGTAGCTATTTTATTAAAAAAATTGGAGTATTATTTTTTGATCCCAAAGCACAAGTCAACATAAATAACTAATGGTGTTGTGTATTATAATGTTTTTTTTGAAAATGTATTAGGTATATAATTTTTAAAAACTACAACATATATTTATATGTTTTTTTTAATTTTTTTAATATTTTTTAATATAAAAAATTATCTATATAACTTAAATTACTTAATAACCATGAATATTTATGTTCTAATTACTCTATGACATAATTTATAAATATGTCCATATTTCAAATCCTTGCTTAAAACGTATTTTTATGTATAATTCATTTTTCAAAAATTATATTCAATTTTTAATTAGTTTTCACTTGGCTAAAAACTTATAGTTATAAATTACTGATGGATTTATAGGTACTTGTAAGACTCCAGCTCTATTTTTATAATACAAGTTTTGTAACTTTATTTATATTTATTCTTGAATATTATAATATATTAATCTAAATCAAATAATATTTTTAAAAAAATTCTAAAAATATATATTTATTGTATTTTTTTAATGTATGTTTTACATATATAAAAACTTTATCAAGAAAATCACACACAAAACTTTCAAGATAGAATTATTTTCTTCTAATTCTATATTGTATTTTTAACCAACTAAATTTCTTCATTTAAGCTTTAATACACTTAATTTTTTTGAAATATCAAAAATATTAAATTATTTTTAAATACTTACATTTAAATATTCTATAGCTTTTTTTAAACTTCTTTGAGATACAAAGATATCTTCATAAATCTCAATTTCTTTATTCTACTTTATTATTTTGTAACTTCTTCAAAAATCACTCAAATTATGACCATCTTATAACTAAATACTAATACATTCTATAAACTTTCTATTTTCTAACCTCTAGACTTTAAATTTTGTTTCAAATTTATTCTAAAAGAAAAAAATTTCTCTAGTTCATTCATTTATACAATTGGTTTTCTTAATTCAACCAACAAGAATAAAGATAACTAAGGTTTTTTCTTTATCTTCCTAGATGAGTGATTAAGGAGTAAAATTATTACTTTTTGACCTCCATAATTTCCTTTGAAGTTTTGATATAATTTTTTATTCAATAGATACATCATACATTATCAAAAAAGAAGATTGTAATATTATAAGAATTTCAATTTCCTCTGATAAAAATAAGGAACATTAATACTAGTGCATCTTAATAATATATTATCTTATAACATTCTTTTTTTAAGAATAATATACAGATAGTTAAGTCTTGAATTTTTCTATTTACAACCACAATATTGAAAATAAGAATAAAATTTATGATGATTTTTAATTTTAAAAAATATATATCAAAATATGTCAATAATCACAGATAGAAATGATTGATTTTTTACATAATTTTATATATTATTAAAATAAAAATTAATTATAAAAAAATTAGTTCTTTTTCTTTCTTTAATATCCTATTTTTATATAAATACCACAAATCAAATCTTATATAAATTTATTATTGTATAAAAATAAATAAATAAATAAATAAATAAGTCATAGGATTATTAAAAATTACTTATATGTGATGTTTATAGTTATTCATAGCAACTTCTATTGTATTAATATATTTGATCTTTTTTTACATATTAGTCAAGCCACAACACAAAAAAAACCTTTTGAAATTTGAATTTGTTAAAAGATCAAATAAGATTTTTTTAATAGTTTGTTTCAAAAACTTTATTACAAGGAAGGTCTTTAACTTTAAACTCTAACTTATTGTTAATAAAATTTATCTCAAAGGGCTTATGTTCTCCAAGAATTTAAAATATATATATATATATATATATATATATATATATATATATATATTACTAGTTAATATGAAAATAATTCTACAATCTATCTTAAAGGATTTAAAATTTAATTTTAAAAATACCATTTTTATTATCAATAATTTTATTTTATTATGGAGTTTATAAATAAAATGGCCAAAATTGATTGCCACATGATGTATCAACTTTGATGAACCTCAAAATATAAGAATTTTTTATTGAACTATGCAATTTTCCATAAGCAAAGTTATTGCTTTAACACTTGTTTTAAATTCAATTTGTATCTTTTAATTTTTGAGAAATTTTATATTTAGTAAGTAAAATAAAAGCTAAAACATATTCAATAAAGTAAGATTAATACAAATAGTCAAATATACTTAACTAACTATAATTATTTAATTTATAATAATTTTTGAAAATTTTAATTAAGCTATAAAATTAGTTATTGGAGTTGTCAATAAATATTTGGACAAACAAATAAATAAATAAATCTAAGAAGTAAAGTATCATGGCATAATACTAATCAATATTTATAATATAGTGATCTTAACTAGATAGATTTATAAATAATTGTCATTGACTTGGTTGTACAAGAGATACTAAAAGTATTTATATAAAATCATTTTTTACTTATAAATATTGTTTAATATAAATTTTAACTTACAAAGTTTTTTTTAAGAGAATCAATAAATGAATACATAACCAACATTGAGTGATAAAATTATTGTTGAAATATTCTATAAGTTTAAAGATATATAAGAGAATATATATGAAGCATTGAAATCAATGACAAAATATCTATTTAACAAGTACATTGATTTTTTTTTCTAGAAAAAATCAAGTAATATAGTCAATGTCTTTTGTCTCCTTTGAATTCCAACTACTTTAAAACTATTTTACAAAGATTTGGAAATCTATGACTACATAACAAATTTGGAAGTAGGTGCAATTATTCAAAACTATTTAAGTAAATAAAGCCTTAACTTGATACCAAGACCAACTCTTACACTATACCAAGAAATGTTTGGAAAATTATTGTCAATGTCAAAAATTGGAAGATATTATGGCTTTCAATTATAAGAGTTTGCTTTTGGAAAACATACAAATAATATGATGTGCACATATTCAAATAAGAAACTTGGCAAAAAGACAAAGAAATATTTGTAATTTGATACAAGCTATTAGAATATTAGAAAAAAAAAAAAAAAAAAAAAAAAAAAATGTTGAAAGAAATACTAAAAATTCTACACAAAAAAGGCCTTAAAATAAATCAAAACATTTCATTTTTTTTTTTCAAATAACAGATCAAAGGTGGTAACCTAGACCTATGAAATGTAGGCATATCAATCAGATAGCACAACACTTTACCTACCAAGATAACATAAAAATTGTCTATCCTGAATAGTTGCAACCCTCAAAGTTCTAAAATACAATAGTCATCATTGATGCGAAAAGGGGTATACTCCCTTAATGTTCCAAAAAGAAACAAACAAACAAATAAAATAAATAAATAAATAAGCGCTAGAGGAACAATAGCCTTACCGGTCTCGTTTCCCTGCACCATTATTTTACACATTCTACAGTATTTTATGCACCCAACTGAGCGTGTAGTGAATGAAACATGAGGAATCCGCGTGTGTGCAGCAAGGAGTACAGAAAACTAGAGCATATGAGTGAGTGTTTCGGTGGCGGGCGGGGCTGTGACACACCACGACGGTGGCTGAATCCGAACTTTAGTTGTTGTTGTTGTTGTTGTTGTTATTCGAATGTTGTGCGCCGTAAGTCAAGCAGATTGGCGAAGTTGTGATGAAGGCCATCACCACACTTTCATGAACCCAAACAGAGAATGGAAGAAGAATCTGTCAGTGACTGGACAAGATGGCATGATCCCCACGGAAGCTGGCACCCAGGGTTCATATGGGGATACGATTTTGGCCTACAGACCCACTGGACTGCGCTGCTTTTCCTCTGGATTAGCAGACACTGTCTTTTCGGTGGTCGTCGTGGTGGTTGGGATTATGCGTGGATGCGGTTTCTTAGTAACCTGAAAGGTGATGAGTGCCCAGTAGTGTGGAGTGTTGAAATAAAAATTCACTAAATAAATGGTGTAACAAGCTTTTGTGTATTTTCGGGGTTGGTGTAGCTTATGAGATTTCGAAGAAGGTCTTTGAATTCTTGGACAGGTGGGTATGATTTCCCCCAAGCTTAGCCATCGGAGAGGGAGATGATCTTGTTTCAGAGCAGGATTGCGGTTACATTCTGCCTCAGTTGCTTTGTGTATGCTTGCTGAGTGTAGATGCTGTAGATTGGAACTTGTAGACTGAGATTGGTGGGTGGATTGTTTGAAGAGGCCGCAGATCTAAGCCGATCCCCTAGCTATGAGGCTTGCTCCGAAGGAGCTTCAGCGAGGTGCTCGTGGTTGCCTCACCATTCCTCGCCCTATTGGTTTACATTCAGGACCGACGTGCATGCACATTCGGGAATTGAAGGCTTAGTGTTTGCGAGATTGTTTTTGTTCGTGCTCGTGGCTTGGTTGTTCAATGTTCCTGCTATAGCGAATGATGTGGTTGATACCCACTCAATTTGTTGCGTTAGGCGAATTGAAGCCTGTTTTAGGATTAGAATCTTGGAGCTCATCGGTATCAATAAAATTGCACACTTGTGTGGTGCAGTGCCGGATCTGCTGGGGTCGATGCCATTCTTGCAGCGGCTTCCGAATGCATCATTTCTGCAGATTGTTGAAGATGCCCAACTCAGGCATTTCGGTACTCATTTCCACTAAATTTGTTGGAGTTTTTTCACAGTGTCAACCGATTGCAGGTTCTAGAATTGAAAAAAATACGTATCCAGTTGTCTTCGTTAATTAGCTGTCTTCCTTGCCGTCTAACCTAAGCGCTCCATCTTCATGTCATAAGAGAATAGGGTGCGGATTGTCTGCGTGCAGGGGCAGGCGAGACGATAATAAAAGAAGACGAACCTGGTGAAGGATTGTACATAATCTGGAAGGGCGAGGTATGTCGAATTGCCCATATTAGGTTTTTCTGGCTCAATCCTCGCGCCTGTGGTTTAAAGCAGCTCGTACTCTTTTCAAATCATCAGCATTGTGTAAGTCTTCCGCTGGAACATCTTTGCAGGCTGAAACTTTAAGGAAAGTAGATAATCCTTGCAATTTGTCAAACGTTCCAGCAGTCCTGAGGAAAGGCGATCACTTTGGACGGGGTATGAGTCACCCTTCCTCCTATAATAACAGTACAAGTTTATGTGAAGTACATACAAAATCTGGTATAAATTTCTTTTCCAGTCAACCTTGATCAAATATATGAGAAAACGACCTTTAAACGCAATTTTCTGAAACGGAGCCTTGTGGGGTTTCTGGAGCCCGCAGTTCTCACTGGATCAGAGGAACAACTCCACAGCAATGATATAATTGCGCGATCAGAGGTATGATCACCAAAGAAGCTTGGTTTTGTGGCTGTTTCTCAGAACCACTTCAGTGTAGATCACATGGTCTGTTCAATTAGCAGCTGCGGATCGGTTCCCTGTTTTGCTATTCTATCTAAACCACACGCATTTTCAATTTATAACAGGTTACTTGTATCCTTATCAAACATGAGAAAGCCCACCTGCTTTCTCCGGCATCAACATGGAGACATGAGCCCGGAGACTTGTCTATAGTGGAACGTCTACTACAGCTGAAATTCATTAGGGTGAGGTCGCAGGATAATCTGATACATATAATTTACAAGCACACCCATGTGTCCTCTTTGGCACTCATGTTCATTCTCATTTTTTTCCCGTCGATTGTTTGTATAACAGGAAGACGTATTTCGTGTCGATCCTACGCCTGAGGCGCCCGTATTCTGGAGCCTATATGGAGGTTATATGGTAGGCCTGGTAAGCAATTTTCCCCAGTGAAACACTGTACTCATCAAGTATTCCTAGTTTGTTATAGAAAGAAGGGGCTGCCTTTGGTTTGATCGTTGGATCCGCTTTGCATCTTATTTTCAATGTCATGATCACTCGTGAATTCGCTTTCCTGGTCTGGTGCAGGCTTTAGGAGCTGCGTGCAAGACAGTCAATCCCGCACTCGATGTTCACAGCCTTCATGCGTATTTTGTCCTCAGTGGAATCTCTTCTTGTATCCATCGCTCCCTACATTGGTTGACAAAGCGATGTTAATGTGCATCAATTTGCTGAATCTTTGGAGTTGAGATAGCTCATGTTAAAGTTCGTATCCAGCATACTCGCTTTGTTTCTAGATTTATTGATTGGCTCGTACTTGATTAGATTGATTCGCATTTTATTTATGTTTTTATATATCAAATTTGGTGCTTCTCTGCAGTGCCTATTACATTCAAGGTGGAGAGGATTAGAGATGGTCATAACGTCGCAACACGACATGTTCAAGCAATACAGAGAGAAAAAGTATGTTATGTTATGTACGCATCTTTCCAGGTAACCTCCGCATCATTTCTTCTTAGTGCTGCATTAACTGTCTTACGGAATCTTTCGACTGTTTTTGCAATGCACCGCTCAACTACGAGGTTACTCCTACGTTGTATTATATAAATACGATAAGTTGCTCGAATTTTCATCTAAACATGAGGAAGGATGATGAGCATAATTTACCTTCTTTTTTTTTCCTCGTCTTCTAGTTTAGTAGAAGTTCAGAACATATTGAGTTGTTTTACCCTGTGTCACAACCCTTGGCTCTTACAACTGGTGCCGGACGACTTTTTCGAATTGAATCACTAGAGTTCATGCCAACGTGCCAGAACCCTTCTCACAAGTTCACCCCGGAAAGTGCAGAGAGCCGGAGATGGACTTGAGTATCAGTATCCAATGCCGAAAGCTCCTCCTCCTGATGAGGTACAGTTCAATTTCTAATCCCAACCCACACATCAGTTTTCTATTCTTTTTTTTTGTTTTCGTATGAAAGCTCATATAGAACACCAACTTGAACTTTGTTGCAGAATTCTCTAGCATGCGTTTTAATTGCATCTGTCCACAAACTGCCCACATAACAGGTGTTAAATTTTCTATTTTTAATACTCAGAACACTGGTGATGGTTGCAGCTCCCTACTTACCAGGAATTGTTGGGGCCGCTCTGTACTGATCCCCGTCTATCTAAGTGAGTGCCTACGCTCATTGTTGTGGTCTGCATTCAGAGTCGATTCTGAATTATTTGGTGGTTTGAAACCTTTAATATTGCAACAAGTGATTATCTATACTACTGCAGTACATCTCCTTACGTGGGTAATGCGTGTTTGTCTTGTCAAATTTGTGTACTCGAAGTTCTAAGCAGATTGTGCAGAGAACTGCAGACGTTGTACAATGTTCATTAAATTTGCACTATCTACGGAAAATCTGGATCGTTAGGTTATTTGCAGTCAGGGAACAAGCTATTCAACATCAACCTTAACTACAACTTTCTTCTCTGTAGATATAAACAGGAGGCAACTATTAGTTGCTTGGAAATGGGCCAATCTTTGGACCTGAGATATGTAAATCGTCGGAACATATACAGTTCTGAACCCGAAGAGCCTCGGTATGTCATCACAATCTCTCTCCCTCTCTCTCTCTCGATCTTTATCACGCCTTGTTTGCTCGTGCAATCTGGATAAGATCGAATCTCTTCAATAAAATGGATTTGACATCTGGTGTATGTTGTCACCAAGTAATTACAAGCATGGAAAACCACGACGACATGATTTGGGGAAGTTTATATTTGAATATACTATTTGTATCTTATGTGCATTGGCAGTAGGTTTTCAAATGTATAGTGGCAAGGTACCTATCTCTACCGAGGAACTGATGGGTCCATATTCTGTTCTAGACAAAGACTGTGGGTGCGGACAAACGGGAAACTTGGCGATGATCCGGCCCTACATCGGTACACCCACTTGGAACTTATGTATTGCGAGAGAGAGAGAGAGAGAAATCGTTGAAACCAGTGTAGTATTCTATAGCACATACGTAAAGGAATTTAGATGTCACATCTGAGCTCGGGCTTTTCCAAGTACAGGGATCAAAGACCAACAACTGTGCAGAAGGTAACAACAAGCATCACGTTAAGTTCGATGTTCTCTGATTAAAGTTCCTACACTCTGATGCGGTGGCATGATTAATCCAGGAGTGCAGCTGGGTATGCCTTCGACTGGTCTTTGCTGGAGACTGCACTGAAGCCTCACAACAAGCTGTTGAATCAAAGCCCCTTCTTTGGCTACAGCATTGATCACTCGTATAGCCATCCCTCCTTGCAATCCTTTCAACCCCAATTGAGTAGTGATACTAACTCGATCACTTGAAGGTTGTCCTCAAGCTGCCAGTATCGTTTACATCAAGTTTGATTTGGGCATTGGGTGCAGAATCTGGTTTCACCGCCCCTTCCGAACAGACGAGTACCTTCTTTTCGCGGTACAGCAATCCTCACTGACACCTTCCCCCTAATCCTCATTTACGTTTTTTTTTTTTTGGGGGGGGGGGGGGGGGTAAGCACAGAACCATGGTGCAAAATGACTCATGGAGCAAAGACTCTTAATCTAAAATACATACCTGGTTTCAAATTTAGCAAAAGCCAACATGCTCACCTTGGCCCCAATGTATGGTTCAGATGGACAGCCACCGCGCGTGTGACTCACGCGCATTATGTTTTGGCCGAGTTTACACACAAAGTGGCGAGGTACAGTCATTTCCACGAAGCTCCAAGCTTGATTTACGTCTCTGACCTGGAAGCTGAAAATCGAGACGAATCCATGTTTTCAGGGAGCCCATTTTGACCACTGTTGCAATGTGTGTGGGGTGGGGGGGTGTGGCAGCTCGTTGCTTCGATCGCTCAAGAAGGAAGAATTCAGCTTCTCCCTCCGCCAAAAGTAACCACCCCTGCTTCCAAGCTGTAGCTTATTGATCCAACTACACTACGTGTGTGCTTTGTATACTGGAGCCGATTCATTCTATGTAGGAAACAAGCATGTGGACCTCTCACTATTCTAGAGCATTGAAATGAACCCCATATTCTCTAAATTCAGTTCTACTTCTAGTTTTCCTCCCCCCTTGTCAACAAGTGTGACAGTATTGGGACACCCAGCTCTCCATTATAGTGGATTAACATACATTTATTGATGTGAGCATGCATCCAAACACTTGGTGTATATTTTGTACACTGCAACTCCCCCAATTTTACTTTTGGTAGGTACACTACCAACATACCAACAACCTAACGAAACTCATCCTTCTTCTTCTGTTCCCAACCTAATACCAACCACCACCTAAAAATAAAATAAAAATAAAAATTGCTTTGTTCGAACAGTCATTCCCTTCATGAAGCTACCGTGCCAGCTCAGACAGCCCTAGTTTCGTTGGAGTGATTTTATTTTTATTTATTTATTTATTTATTTATTTATTTATTTATTTATTTTGTTGAGGAGGTGGGGTTTCTTTGGTATGTCTTGTAAGGAAATAATGGGTTTCTTTTAGATATTTCCAATGTTTTTCTTCTTCTTCTTCTTCTTCTTCTTCTTCTTTTTTTTTCTGTTTTATTCAAGTTTTGTATCTTTCTCTAATTTGTAATCATACTTAACTACCATGCTTTGTTTTAAATTTTTTATTTTTATTTTTATTTCTTACAAGTTGGCATGCTATCAAAGACTTCAAAGATTTATTTTTCTTTTTATTCATGATGATGTCCTAAAAAATGTATATATATATATATATAATATGTTCAATAATATTTTAGAAAGTATCATAGTATGAATATAATTTACATGAAAATTATACTAAACAATAGGAAATATATAAAATATAAAAGTTTTAAAACATAAAATTATTAAACTATTGGTTAAATTTACATACATTTTTGTATTATTTTAAATATTAAATCACATATTTAAACTCATCTTTTGTAATGAACCTTACAAATATAAAAATTTAATATTTAAAATGAAATAGAAGCATTTATTTTGTAATATACAATAACTAAAATAGTTCATAATCATTATTATATTGTTTTTTTTTACTTCAACTTATGTCATTAAACTACAAATTTCATTGGTTTGCCACAAGTATCCATGTAGCAACCACAAGAAGGCATCCAAAACTAAAAGGGCAACTACATAGGACAAACATAAGGGACAACCATAGGAATCAAACACAATTGGCCAACACAAGCAATTCTCACAAAGAGAGGCACTAATTTTTCGAAGAACATGACTTGCTCAAAAATTATCCAAATAAGAAAAAATGAGGCATTTTTGGGCATCTTTAACTTTAGAGATGCAATAAAATAAAATCACCTCATATAGGCCCAATTTGGATAATATTTGAACAAGTTAAAACCTTAGATTAGCATCTTTCTCTATCAACAATCCTTCTTATCAACATTCTTTATAGGCATTTCCTAGGGATGTCCTATATGGACACCTTCTTGTACAAGTTTGGCACATGCCCATTGTTACAAAATTTGTTTTTTAAGTAATCCACATTGGGCTTGATATTTTGAAAAAACAAAAAACAAAAAACAAAACATGAAAGTTATTTTAGATCTATTTACTCTATGTCCAATTTTGTAGGACAAGTTGTCATATTTACATCTTCATATTCTATAGACATTGGCATAAGAACCCTTTGTCTACTTCAGTAGACATCTTTTCCTACAACCAGTCTTTGAAACTTTGAATCAGTATATTTTTTAATTGTTAACATTAATAATAATTATTATCATTATTATTATTATTATTTTTAAAACACATACACAACTTTTATTACTTCATTTGTTTATATATGCATGAATGCATGCATCCATGTCTATATTTGTTGTGTAATACTTTCACCATTTATTTATTTATACATATACACACTTGCGTATATTTAATTGTGCATTGATAAGCTGCCATTGCAATTGCAAGATTCTTTCAATCTTTGCTTCTTGATTCAAGGTCTGATCTGTTAAAGTCAACATGTTTTAAATTTATTGTACTTTTTCTTTGCATAACAAACAAACAAACAAAACTAAGAGAGTTGAATCTAAGATATGGATATTTTGAACCATGGGTCAATGGAGGGTTCTATTCTAGATAAAGCTTTATCAAAGATGTGCTGACCCACAAACAAATATATGTATTTTTTAAATAGCAACTTCTATGGTACCATCGAATATAGTCAATCAATCAATAACACAGAATATTATGATGTTCTCAATGCTGACTTCAACCAGTTTTGAGTTCCTGTGAGTAAAAACTACTTGTCCTAGTATTAAAAGTCTCGCATGTCAACTCTCAAGGTATTAATTTATAATTTTAGAACACTAAAGAGGTTTATTGCCATTAATTTGTGACTTGTAAGTAATAATATAAATATAAAATTAAAAAGATTTAGTATTTTATAATTTTAATAAAAAAAATTAATTTTTTTTCCATTGAAATTTCTTGACTTAATTTAAGTTGAATAGGAAGTTTGACTTATGAAAAATCTTTTTTTATTTTAATTCACAAGATTTTTCATCTGAATAGCTTATATCAAGAGTTTTACAATGTATTTGGGCTCAATTTTAATTAAATAGTTAAATTGGTGAAATAGTAATAGGAGTAGATTTATAACCTTTCTCATTCCCAAATAATAACATATGTTTTCATTGTGTGTATAGAGGATTGCTACTACCACCACAATTTGCCATCCACCACATGCCACCCATCTTCCTTTGTCAATGCTAAATAAAAAATAATATTTTAAAAATATAAGGTTGAATTTATATTTTGTAGTTATGTGTTTACATATTTATATTCATAATAGTTTTTAAAAATAAGAATAATTTTAATCTTATTCTTAGTAAAATGAATTATTATTATTATATAAACTTTTCAAAAAAAAAATACTTTCTATATTATTTGAAGAAAAAGAGGGAAAAAAATCTTATTGAAAATATTAACAACAAAAATTTATTGGTGTTAAAAGAAACTAAAACAATATGGGTTGTAATAGCAAAAACTGTCACAGTTGTAGAAATATATATATATATATATATATATAATATCAATTTTAGAATTTAAGTTTATTACAATTTAACATTAATGCTAAAACCTTAAAAATCTTATTCTTTATAGACTGCATATTACAACCAAATTAACTTTCTGCTAATCAGAGGCAAAATATCACTTTTAATCAAAAAATTAAAAATTTAATTTATAATTTCAAACATCATATTTTTTGTAATGTTTTTGACAGGCTTTCAAAACATTATTGATTGAAACATGCATTGAACGTATTATTTTTACTATGTATATGAAATTATTGCATTGATCACTCTCAAAATAAAATTAAAAAATTACACAGGATTTTTATTTTTTTTATTTGCAGTTTATGTTATTGAATAAACATAACAAAAAATAATCATGACAATTTCAAGATGTTGATTTTTGGACTTGTGCAAAACTTAAAATATCTGCTATGAGATTCATCAGTTTTACAAAACTAAACAAAAAGAAGACAAAAATAGATTTTAATTATCGGCACATGGTCTTATCGCATCTCTTTTGAATTGAAATTTAGCTTTTAAATTTCTTTACAGATTTTCCATTCTTTGGCTAATATCTAAGAGATTAAATTTAGACATTATGTATACATAAATAGAATTCAATAAATGTATGTTTGAACAGTGAAAATTTGGTTCAAAAGTTGAATGTTACTCAACAAAATAATCATTCTGAAATAAGTTTTTTAATCTAAATTTTTGAGTTTTTAAGGCTTTTTACCCTATTTTTATACATGTTGATATGTTAAAAGAGCACTTCATACCCAAATTTAGTCCTATAACCGTCATCCAAGTGAGTCCTATTTTAATGATATTTCACAAAAAGTTTTAAAGTAAGAATATTTTATATAAATATATATATATATATATATATATATATACACTGTAGTAAATTCTAAAATATTTTCTATATTTTATACAAACTTATGTTACTTTGCCTACTGAATAAAATCAATAAAGACGAAAATTTTATAACTATAATACACTAGAAGAACACTTTTATTTTGAAACCATTGTCTTGAGTTTCATAACTTATCTCTTGTGCAAATTTAGAAAAATTAAGCATCCAACCCACTTACAAGAGGGAAAAAAGAAAAAAACAAACAAAAACAAAACACATCCTCAAACAAAATTTTCAAAGTAGCCACCGAATCCATGTTTTGCACTATCATTACATTTCAATCACACTACCTCTTCTTCAAACTTTACTTAACATTCCATCACAAAAGAAAAAAGAAAAAGAAGAAATTTATGGCTTCTCACACATAATTGCATCTACAAACCACTAACACAAAATAATCATATCAAACACAACAAACACCACCTTCATCTCAAAAAGAAAAAAAGAAAAGAAAAGAAACTAACACAAAAAAACTCAATAAAGGATTCTGTGCAGATGAACCACAACCCAAACACAAAACCTTGCGAAACAAGTGAAAAACATGCACTCCAAAATCTGGTGGGTTTTAATACACATGATGAAGAATGAAGCTTGAATTCGGGTTGTGGATGTAGAGTGATCGTCTCGACACGACGCGATCGAAGCGGATGCGGATGCGAAGGAGGAGGACGCGATGGTATGATGCTATGGAGGAGACCTGAATTTGCGAGGAGCTCAAGCTCCGCCGCATTTCGAAGCCAACAACAACAACAAACAAGCCCACGATCTGATCCACTCGGGCTCCATCGCCGTCCTCTTCCTTCGACACTGTAGATTTCATCGGTCAGACGACTTTGGAGCTTGTGCTCGCTGGTGCCGGAAGCATTTTACAACCCATCGGCGGATTTGTCACTGGAGTCGGCATCACCATGAGTGTGTGTTTTAGGTTCAGTTATTGGAAGAGCCTGGTTGGTTGACTTGAGTAGTGGGTTGTCTGATCCTGCAACGGATTTTTGGCTGGATAGTTCCCACTAGAGCCCGAGATGTTCAGGCAGAATCTGGGCCTTGATACTCGTAGGCTCCGTGAATCGCTAGTTCGGCGTGTGGTGGCATCGGTGTGTGCGGATCCACTGCAGTTGTTGTGAGTTGAAGCTAGTGTATGAATTTTCTGACCGGTGAAAAAATCCTCCCTGCCTTGCTAGGAGATCGAGCTAATGATAGAGTGGGTCCTGGGGAATCGCATGTTAGGAAAACCATCGCATGCTTGCTATCCAACTACTAC